ATATATATATAGTATATATATATATATATATATATATAATATATATATATTATATATATATATATATATATATATATATATATATATATAATTAAAATTTTGGTAAATATATTTTTAATATTTTTACTGAAATAAAATTTGTAATGCACATGCGTGCGTAACACGTGTGACTTAAGTCGTATTATTTTAGTCAAAAAATATATTTGAATAAAATTGATATAATTAGCATAGACGGTATAAAATACATTTTCGATATATTGTAAATAAATAATGTGATTATAACTTTATATAATTACAATAACATTCATCAATTACAAAATTTCTTAAAAAGTTTGTTTATACAATTCAAAAAATTTTTAATTTTAAGTTTTAATTTTTAGTAATAAATATAAAATCTCTCTTAGATTTCTCTATGATGTTAAATATAGTATTATGATATAATGGTGTTGAAATGAAATTAAATAAGTATAACATTAAATTACGAAAAAATTTTATTTTGTTTTAGCATTTTTCTGCACACGCAGATTTAAAAATCGTGAACGATATACATGCAATATACGAGCAGTAAATTGTAATATTAAATCTTTATTAAAATATCGCATGATATTTATATATGTAGTGGAACATTTAGAAATCTTATATTTTTCTCGTATAAATGCATCTAACATAATATATAAGTGCGTTTTGATATTAATCCTCCAGTTCACCAGCTTCCATAGCATCCTGATAAGATTTAGTTTTCGAACGCTCAGGATCTAATTTAATCATATCATCGATTCGAAGAATAGTTATAGCTGCTTCAGTAGCAAATTTCAAAGATTTAATTTTTGAAATAGCTGGTTCTAATACACCGGCTTTTTTATTATCTCGTATATTTCCCACGAGTAAATCAAGGCCCACCCTGCGAAAATAGAATTCATTTTTTATTTCATGACAATTCATAAAATTGTAAAGAAATCACGAAAACTTACCATTTCAAATCAACAAGATCTGGTTTTGTTATACTGGAATTATGGTAAGCTCGGAGCTTGGCAACAAGATCGGTTGCATCTTGTGCAGCATTTACGGCTAATGTTTTCGGTATAATTAATAAAGATCGAGCAAATTCTGCTATAGCCAATTGTTCTCGGGAGCTCTGTAATATAAAAATTTATAAATATCTCAATGAAAAGAAACTAATAAAAAAGATACAAAAGTTCAATGATACCAATGATGTTGCGAAGTTTTCTAAATATATGGAGAGTGCAGCTTCCACGCAACCTCCTCCTGCGACAACATTTTTGCTTTCTAAGACTCTCTTAACGACGCATAATGCATCATGTATGGAGCGTTCCATTTCGTCACAGTAATAATCATTTGGTCCACGTAAAATAATAGAACTTGCTGTACGTGCCTTGGGTCTTAAAGAAAAAAAATCAATAATCATACTTTTCCTGTTATCTTATAATGCTAATATTGTATCGAAAGATCTGTTCTTTCTAATTGAATTTCTTGAATGGTTTATCTTTCCTCTTTTTCTCTTCATGTTGGAGAAAAAAAGGATAAACAATATTCAATGAAACAAATTCAATTAAAAAGAACAGGTCTTAAGATGATAAATATATATAATTTATGAGGATACTCGCGCAGAATGATTTCATATAAGAGAAATAGATTCATAATCGACAAGTTCTGGATTTATTTCCAAAATCCTTATTTTATGCTTTCATTTTATAAGAAATTAATTTGATGAGCAAAAACGAAGTGAATGAATAATTCAGATTTGGAAATCCATATTTCATAATATAGAAACATTCCACAGTTTCATTCACGATATTAGTAACAATATATATACCCTTTAATCAAAATGAGCTCGTCATCACATATTATCTCTTGCACTACTTCAGCAGCTTCTCCCAAAAAGCTGGCGTCAAAACTTTCCTCTCCTTCCATATTGGTAAGTGATGTAAGAAATTGTGCACCTGTAGCTTTAGCAATTCTCTTTAAATCAGCTTTCTTACACCTGCGTACTGCCATAGTCTTAGTTTCTACGAAATACTGTGGAAAGATCAGAATGAATATTCTATTCGTTTTTAAAATCTATCATTGAAATGTACCTTTAAACATAAATCGTCAATGCCACCAGATAAAAGAACGACATTAGTTCCAGCAGCGAGAATTTTTTGAATACGTTCTTTGGTGATATCTGCTTCACGTTGACGGACAGCTTCAAGTTTCTCAGGATCTGTAATAAGTACTTCGACTCCCAACTTCATCTTTGCTTTCTGCAATGAGAAATCTAGACATGCAATTTTCGCATTTGCTATCCTCTTCGGCATTGCTTGAGAAGCCACAGTGCAATTTAGAGCATATCCTTGAATCAAAACCGATTCTCGAACACTTTTTCCATGCGCCTTCAAAACATTAACTGCTTTAACAGGATACAAAAAGCCTCCTTTGCCATCGCTGATTTTTATTGCATTAGCAGCGTCAACTACCATGTTGCCAAAAAAGTTGGCATCACTATTTGTTGATCATAGAAAATATTTTAAATGCTTATTACTTTTACTAAATATTCAAAATAAACTGCAAATGAAAAATGCAAATAGTATCAAAAGGATACGCTCCAATAATTTTGCTTGACATAGATGTTTTTGCAACATTAACCAAACAATCCTTTCCAAGTTCATCCACACTGACAGTGAGATGCTCCTGAATATATTTGCATGCTTCTCTGAAATTGATTTTATGGAAATTATACTAGTTAGAATTTCCTCTTTTCCATAATTTAATTAATGTGTAATATATTAATAATTTAGTTAACATTAATCAATGATTTAATTTATTTCACATAGAAAATAAAATGATTAATAAATTGATAAATATTTACTTGCAGGCGAGTCTATAGCCACTAATGACTGAAGTTGGATGTATTTTTTGCTTTACAAGTTCATCTGCATTTTTTAAAAGCTCAGCTGCTATTATAACCTTTAAATATAAAATAGTCATGTTAAATATGTATATACATTATAATTCTTATTTTAAATTTTATTAAATGTATAAATCACTTACTACTGAAGTAGTACCATCTCCAACTTCTTCATCTTGTAACTGAGCTAATTCAACTAAAACTCGTGCAGCTGGATGCTCAACTTCCAACAAACGTAAAATAGTCGCGCCATCATTAGTAACAGTGACATCCTGTAAAAATTAATGATACTTGACCAAGGATTCAAACACACACACACACACATATATATATATATATATATATATATATATATATATATACATAATTCCTTTTAAGTATGTGAGTAGGAATAATTCAACTTCAATAAAAATCAAATCTAATAAAGCTAAGATTAAATTCACAGCACTCATGAATATTATTTATCTTTATTTAATATTCGATAAATAAAGATAAAATAGATGCATCCAGAAACACGATTAGTCACTGAGTGCTTAGTGAGCTTTTACATCTGATTAGTATATTTGTTTCACATCTTTATGTTTTATATATTATAAAAGATTTATATATTAGTTTTATATTATATTATATTATATTATATTAGTTTTATATATTATAAAAGATAAAAGTTATCTACATACACCAATATCATCAACCAGCATTTTATCCAAACCTACAGGACCCAAAGAACTTTTGACTATGTTAGCAATAGCACAGGCAGCCATAACTGAAAGAGATACAAATGATATGATTGATTTCACATATTCACATTTACATGGAATTTAGATACTAAATTGTAATTATATATAATTCAAAAAAACTATATATTAATAAGACATTTTTACTATCTTTTCTTAAGCAAAAATTTATTATCTGAAGATAATACAAAAATATAAATATAAATTGTTTATTAATCTTTCATATAAATCTTTTTACACAAAGTTGATATGCATTCTTAAAACAATACTACTATCAAATTGCTTGACAAAGTTTGTTATATTTATATTTAAATAAGACAAATTAGTATTCGACGAAATGAATAGATCTGTTATTGCTATACTAAAATCTCTTCTACTTTGATCAAAGATTCAAACACATACATATATGCATAATTCATTTTAAGTATGTGAGTAGAAATAATTCAACTTCAATAAAAATCAAATTTAGTAAAGCTAAGATTAAATTCACAGCACTCATGAATATTATTTATCTTTATTTAATATTCGATAAATAAAGATAAAATAGATGCATCCAGAAACACGATTAGTCACTGAGCGCTTAGTGAGCTTTTGCATCTAATTAGTATATTTTTTTAGATAAAATAGAATAAAATGCAATTATATTTTTGGATACATCCACTAATTCCATGAATGTTGCAGATTAGATCTCAGCCTATATATTAAATATTTATTCTGTATATCAGGTATCATTTATTCTCTGATTGCCTCAATTACTAAATGCTTTATATGATTATATATAAACTATTGAAGTTTATTACAGGAGTAGAAGTTATATAAAATTTACATAGAAATAATGAAATAAAGCAAAAAGTTACATTTGAAATCTGTTTATGAAAATTTAATATAAATTTTTATTTCAGTTTAAAATAGATTGATGTCAAAAAACTACAAACACGTGGGAGGTTAAATGTGTCCTCTCCTTCTTCAACTATAAGAAATAATTTCGTATTGCGTAAAATATACTGCGATTAATATTTTAATAATTGCCACATCTAATGTTTACAATTTAAATTCATGACTTCGTAGGTCTTTTCATAAAAAAAGGGCAGTCGATACATCGCATAAGGATAACAGAATAGAATTTCATTTTGAGAAGCTATAAGATACGATATAACCAAACTTTGTGAGCAGTCGGCTATTTTGTGTTCGTACCATTTTGCGTTCGTACTGGTGCTCCTGATTGTCGGATGCCTCCAACAGCTAAAGGACTTGCTACCGTCGACATTACGAGAAAATTATTGTTAGCTTAGCGAGCACAAGATCACGTTATTCGTAACAACGATGTTGTAAAACCGGAGAAATGAGTCAAGATAAACCGCATACAGTCGCGCGAGACTGCGAATAATAATGATTATAATGACGGTCAGCGCCCAACTTCATTTCTTATTTCCTTTTATAGTTAAGTGCAACCTCGATCGTCATTGGTCATGCCGCGTTTTGCCCTCGTACGTGATTGGGAAAAGACTTGTCCAAAGAGCAATGCATCATTGGTCTATTATTTCTTAGCAATCAATAATGTTGCGTGAAACAAAAAGAAAATTAGAATTAGAATTTAACATTTATATAATTTTATAAGATTGAAAAAGTCAAATTAACACGATTTTTATTGAAAGTTTTGTATTGATCGAAACCCAATCGGAAAAAAGAAAATGAAAATTTTATCCCAATTATCGAGTTTACGAAATCCAATACAATTTTAATTATAGATTTACAAATTCTAAGAAGAACAAAAGAAAAAATATGCAGATGTGTCTTCGATTTTGTTATTATTCCAAAATAAGAGAATTATAATATCTGAAGAAATTGAAAGTTTCTCAATTGTCAATGATCATACCACGTTGAAAACTACCAGTTCTCGTCCGATCACTGAAGTCAAGCAACGTTGGGCATGGTTAGTACTTAGATGGGTGACCGTTTGGGAACATCATGTGCCGTTGACATTATTTTGCTAACTATAAAAATTTGAAATAATTTTTTTAGTAAAAGTTTATTTTATATATTATTATTTAAAAGTCCTTTGAAATGAAGGGAGAGATAATAACATATGCTGAAGATTCGAAAAGAGCTCAGTGAACATAATTAATGTTTTTTTCTTCATATAGTCAATTGCTTGTATGTCATATATGTATCTATATGTGGCGCATGATAGATAAATAAAATATCGTGAATTGATGATCAAATGATTTTGTAGAGATTTTGTTAAGATTCTTTTTATTTCACATATATTTTGGGGATTTGACGATGACAGAGGAAAAAATAAAATGTAAGGGAAAGCACTAACATGTTTATAGTCTTTCTCACATACTCCATTTATTTTTAATTAAAATCATGTATTTATTTTGTATATATACATATACATAATTAATTTCTTCTTAAGAAAAAATAGAATATAAAAATTAATTATTCGATATATTATTTCAGCTTTCTTTGTTTGATTAAATGATTTTTAAGAGCTATTTGCTTATCTCTGAAAGATCGTTTTACCTTTGCTTTTAATTTATGTTTCAGCATTCCAAATGCTTTTGTTTTTTTCTTCTCACGATTTGTTGTACTACATAGTGGATTTTGTCGTCGATTCTTAAAACCAAATTTATCTCGCTCTTTTTGTCCCTTCTGCAAATTCAATGATAATTAAGCTATATATATCAACTTTATATATATCAACTTCAAATATAACATACCTTCACAGATTTTTGTCGAGCAGTCTTATCATGTTTGCGTTTTTTATATATGTTCTCTATATCACTAAGTTTTACCAATTCTCCTTTTTGATCTGTTTCAATCTGGTCATGCGTCCTTTTAATGCCGCGCTTAATATATGTTATTTCTTGCTTTGCTAAAGCAACATCAATTTTTCTAAAATCTTTATCTGTGAATAATCGCTCAGTGGATATTTTAGACGCTTTTGCTTTTCTTTCTGCTGTTAATTCTTCATTTCTTTCAGATTTGTATTTTGCTTTCTTCTCCAATTTTTGTGCTTTCTTCTGTTGTTTCGTTAAAGCGATTTCTTCTCGCGAAACTTTATCTGTTTTTCTTTTTTTGTCATCTGCTTCACCAGTGTTCTTCTCATTATCTAATAATGTTAAATTTTCATCAATTTCATTTTCCGTAATAGCGGAAGATTTCATTGTTTGTTCTGATTCGGCTGTCGACTCGTTCTCACTGATTTCTTCTTCATCGCTTTCACTTACATCAATCCATTCATCATCATCCTATATTTGAACACATTTTTATGTAAAATGATAATAGTTGTTTATAATAATAAAATAAATTAATGTTTACTTCTCCATCACTATCATTAGTTTCTTCAGTATCCTCAGCTTGTCGATCATATAAAACTTCTGCTCCTGGTATGAATTCGCTTGCTCGAATTTCTCCATATTTAGAAGACTTTATCATAACATTGGCCTCTGTTGGACGACCTCTGTCTTTTTTATGCAATAATTCAGGCATTATACGTCTGAATGTCCCAATTAAAGAATGCGCTGCCATCATAACAGAGCGTTCTTTATAATGTTTGTAACGTGTTAAATCTTCAAGCAGATCCTCATTTATGGCCAATGGACACCGTGTACATATCTCGCGCACAGTATTTAGACTAAAAAAAATATAAATTATAAATAAAAAATAAAACAATAATGTAACAATGTAATAAAACAATGTGCAGCATGTATACATACCCAATAGCCATTACATCCGCAGAATTTCTTTCTGTTATGAAATTATTTACTAATGTTTTCAAAACAGGTTCTAATACATCAGGTGGTACTAACTCATGTGAAGCCTGAGCTATAAACTGTAAAAGTTTGGTAACCTCTAAAGAAAAATAAAAATAAATATATGTATAATATCTGAATACAAAATTATGTAGAAATGATATATCTTTTTGACATGGCTTGGAAAGAAATAATTAATAAAACAGCAATATAGCAATTAGTAATAATTAGTAACAATAGCAATAGTAACAATAGCAATTAGTAACAATAATTAGCAATGTAAAATAGATGTTACTTAAAAGATTGAATAAAAATAGATAATTAAAAATTGAAATATGAATATTCATCAACTTGATATTCAAATATAATTTAATAGTAGTATATTATTATTAATCTTACCTCGTTGATGAGGGTGAAGAAATCGTTGTATATATGGATAAAAGTTCAAGAGAAATAAACTATGCAAGCCAATAAGTCTAGAGACAACATCTAGAATCATAAGCTTTACTTCAAATCTATCATTATTATTTTGTATCTGCTTGAATAATTTTTCGGCAAAATCCTGAGGATCATGAATTAAATGTAAGGCTGAAAAATTATATTGCGGCGCCAAAGATTTCTTCTTTTTAGCTTTCTAAAAAATATATTAAAATTAAAAATTATAGTGTACATTTCTTAGAAATATTATAAGTTTTATAATATATAATATAATATATATATATAAAATATATAATATTATATAAAATTAAACTTACTACAAATGATTGTTTAGCTTTTTTTAATTGTTTCTGTCGTTTCTTTGTTTTTTTATTTACTTTATTAGCCATCATAATTTCCTTCATACTTGGTTCATCATCTGAACTATCACTATCATCGCTTTCTTTTTCTTCTGGATCAGTTCCCAAGAAAAATTTCAAGCTAGCAACTACTACTTTTGTTATTTTCGAAAAGCAACCTGTTGCTATAACATTAACAGTCTTGATGTCGTTCCAAATATTTTTTTTGTACAATTCTATCATAATATCTATCGACATCTTTGCGGCTCTGACATTAGAGTCTTTTAACATAGAAAACATAAAATTTTGTAACACTGCATTAACTTTGGCATTTTTGTGTTTTGCATTAATATTTTTTATATCTGTAATTATATGCGTTTGAAGAAATTGTCTTAAAACCTTATCTTGACATTTTAATAACTCGAAAAACAAACTGAGAAGTGCAGTAGGTTCTAAAAGGGATTTGTTACGCAGCTGGATTAATGTTTTACAAAACGTCTGTAAAGAAATATAATTATATTGCAGAATAAATTATATATGTGATCGCACTTATTAGTATATAATTTAATTTTCATGTACATAATGCTTACCATTCGCATTTCATTGTCCAGTATGACATTATGAGTTTGTAATATATCAACAATTTCTTGAGGATATGTTTTTAAATCGCTTGGATAACAATGGGCTACCTATAATAATATGCAAAAAAACATGTGTGTGTGTGTGTGTGTGTGTGTGTGTGTGTGTGTGTGTGTGTGTGTGAGAGAGAGAGAGAGAGAGAGTAGTTAATTAGTATATGTAATATAAAATATATATATAATATTGTATGTATGTGTGTGTGTGTGTGTGTGTGTGTGTGTGTGTGCGCGCGCGCGCGCGCGCGCGCGCGCACGCACTTATATATAATCAATAATTACATTTTTTTTAATTATATTAATGTTGTAAACTAGGAAATGTTTAAATAAATACAATATATATGTTTGCAAAACTTTTAATATAAATGAAATCAAATTATTTTATCAATTTACACACAAGTTTTAGATTTTTAATTTATTTTATGCATACAGTTACATATACATAAAAAAAAATAAAATCTTATTCTAATATAAATAAAAAATATGTAAGCTTATCTGTCAAGAAATCGACATTAAACCAGGCAAAGGCAAAGCTTTACAAACAAGCACACATATGAAACTATAAACTAAAAATAAACATAATAAATTATATAGAGTAATTTAATCTATATTAGTGCTTAAATAATTCCTTATATCAAAGCCAACTGTCTTAGCTACGACGATAATAAAATCATGACTTGCACAGCATTTGAATTTTGGTTCATCTAAGTGTACGATATTATCTCCAATCATAGATAATAGACCAAGCTGACACATGGTGGATATTTGAGCGAGCAAATTGGCATTGATGTCTACTTTTTCATCAAGAATAGCGCAGAAGATCGCGAGCAATCTCGAGATAGTGAAAACTTGAGATTTCTTTTGCATATTTACTTTTGTCGTTTTCTTAAATGTCTGTATCTTTTTCTTTCTCTTACTACTCTGCTTCATAAAAATATGTTTGTCATATTTTGTTGGATTATACGAAGCTAAATACGCTGCGATTAACATATACTTTGCGTAAAACGGTAATTCGAAACTCAAAGCTAGCTTTGTCGTCGACTCGATCTCCCGAGACATTTGATGATTGGGTTGCAAAAAATCATCCGTAGAAACTCTAAGGTAAATAATTTCCAAATTAGATTTCAAAATTGGAGAAATATTTCGCCATAATGCAGCAACATTATTCTGATCAATTCGTTTACTCTCTATGGGTTCAACATATTTAGCAAAATTTATTTTGGCCATATGTCGAAGTTCATTTAGATCTCTACAAAATCGGAAAAACACAGAAAGAAAAAGATTCAAATAATTCTTGTAAAAATCCATATCATAATTCACTGGCTTATCCAATAATAGCAATTGAGCTAATTCATCTTTTGTGTATTGTGGAAAATGGATCTTTATAGGCCTCAATATCCCTATCTTAGTATTGAACTTATCCCACACAATCTCGCTAATCAAAATTGTACATATATTAATACCGGATAATTCTTTAAGTCTTACAATTGCTGGTAAAAAAGTCACATCAAAGTGTCTTATCTTATGACATTTATCAAATACCAATACAATTGGACGTTTATCATTACGAGATATTTTCCTAAGCGCGAGTATGAAATCCATAATATTGTCACAGCTATGTCTAGATTGTGTATCGCCATCTGATTTTTTTGTAGATGCAGTTAAATCATCTAAGACATAATTATATATATGTTTATTACCTAAGTGCTCTATACAATTAATGTAACTAACATTATATTTTAAATGATTGAGTAGATTTTGTATTATTAATGATTTTCCAGTAGCCATATGACCGTAAACAAATATGCTTTCTGGCATTGGTTCATTCGTTATACCAATTAAAGAATATAGCCGTGCTATGATATTTTCTCGGCATACAATGTTGCCCTTTTTTTTATCTTTTCTAAATATTTTTCCATGATTTCCACGTCTTAGAGTTATCCTACAGAATTACTAGAAGAAATTAATAAAACTAAAATAGAATCAGTTTTTAATTTTTATCTTATGTTGCATCACTTATAAGAAAAAGATAGACAATTTTAATGAATTATTAGAGCACTGGATGGAAGACTTGTGAAAATTTTTAAATTTAAATCCCACATATATATTTTATCACTTTTATAATTTAAGCATGTGTGTGCTAACCTGAGCCAAGAAGATTACTAGCTCATCAAGACTTTTGTTAAATTGTGTAGGCTCCAAACGAAAAACTTCTAAAGTAGATTTGTAATGCTGATACTGTTGAAGAAACTGCAAAGAAATATATTATTTTAAATTCTTGAAATAATCATTGTCAAATGTTTTCTCTTTTTTTCAAGTATAAAAACATAAAAAAGTTTATAGACTGTACCAATATATATTGTAATTATTGCAATATTATATGTATATATATATATATATATATATATATATATTGCAATATTGCAAGTAACAATCTAATAAACAAACAATCTAATAAATAATCATATATGATCAATAATAATAAAACAATACAAAACAAAAAACAAAATATAAAGAACAAATAAAATAGAAAAATAAAATATAAAACAATTACCTCTTCCTTGTAAGATTCCGGATCACGCTTAATAAGATTCTGTAGTTGTGGAAGATTGTCTGGTAATTGATTATTATGTCTAACCATTTTTAGAACCTATACGAGTACATAATTGACATTGTAAAGAATAATGTAAAAAAGTTTAGTGAACATTTAGAAAAACGGATTAACCTTACACACTTACATCCAGTTCACATTCGTCTTTAACTTTAACACTACAATCGCTTGCAAATGTATATTCATTTATGTACTATAATCAAAATTATAATTTTTCTAGGTATCAAGAATTTTTCTTTTAAGCGAAATATCGTAATTTTAAATTTCCTCAAATATCCTTTCTATAACTCCACGTGGATTATACAAACACAAGGCCTGTTCTTTTTGGTTGAACTGGTTGTCCACGGGAGTGAAACACTATCATAGTTTCTTGCAACACGTAAAAAACGGGGGCACTCGAAAGTGGGGATTGACGTAACCAATCAGAAAACGCCATGGCATTAGCATGACTTCCACTACAAAAGTTCCGATCGTTCCAGCAACTTTTATAAGTATTTTATGTAAAATTAAATAGTTGGTCAACCAGTAATAACATAGTAATTAATTAATTTAATAAATAAGAGGTACAACACACTGATCTAATTTATTATATTTATTATATATTAATATTACTATTAATTTGTATTCAAATTTTCAAGCCTTTGTGGCAATATAACTTCAATATAAATTTGCATTTTTTATTCTTTATAATCATCGAGACGAAAAAAATTAACAATTACTTATTATTAAATTAATAAAACAGAGTTTAAAGGAAGAAAAGCTACATTAATATAAATTTTATTTCAGATTATTTCGCTGATCTAACAATACTGGATTATTGGACATGAAACATGTGTTGCAAATACGAGCAAAAGATAATCAAATTTATAAATTTATATATTCTAATTAACAAATCTTGTGTTATTCTATATTTTATTTTTCCAGAACATATTTTCCAGA